TGATAGAACTCTCATTAAAATTGCGTTTGGCTACGAATTAATTGTATCTTACTCTCTCAACATATTTTGAATGTGATCTCAAAATCAGGTTGACATTTATGTTATGATCCACGGACTACGTACTGGAAGACTATTGAAAGCCAAAATGTTCTTGCTCGGAATAATTTTACTTAGGCCAATCCCACAATGATTCAAACAAAGACACACATCTCTGATATTCAAACAGACAACAAAGAGTGTCTATTTCGGTGAACCACTTCAGTTAATTGTACTAACGTTCAAGAAAAAAATGACCCCTCAGAAAGTGAGTGAAAGGCGCTTATTTCCTTATTCTTGTATACTCCGATAAGATGACCTGCATGTAGACGTCTCCAAAATGTTTTACTTTGTTTAGTTCACATGGAACATAGAATATGTCTTTCACACTCCAGGATATTGCCGACATAGACCAAGCCTCAATAACCTGTTGATGTTCACAGTTTGAAAGAGGCCTGTCTCCTGTACAATGCGCTATTATCCTTTATCAGTCAGGAAGATACGATTAATTCCTGTCATCTAGACAAAAAGCTTTTATCCTGTATCAGGCAGGAAAAATTTCCAGACAAAGGCTTCTCAAGCATGGTTGCACGCACATGCATTCCAGCGTCAATTGCCCTTGCTTGTTAAAAGCAGACACATTCAACAGAAGTATATCATTTACGAGCAAAACGAGTCGCGAACTACATGCAACATAATCATGAGCTCCAAACCTCACCGTGTTGGTCAATGGATTCCGTCTGACCTCAAATTTCCCGACAAATGGTTAGCCAACTTGATCATAGAAGTCCAAACTAAATACAAAGATAAGTTAGCGTTATTGATGGCTCTTCATCCACCAGCTGAAGACGAAGAAACAGCTAGTGGTGAAACTCCGCCGGTAGTTGCTCACGGTACAGAGGAAGACCTCGGTCTCCATCCACCCGTTCAAGAATTATTGAAAGCTATCATCTCCGACCCCGAGATCAACATCTTTTTCCATCAGATGTTCTGGCAACAGTTCGAGAATCCAGATAGTTCGAGAGGGACAAGGATCCCTCGCTGGCAACTGATGATTATTTTAATTGATCACATCATGACTACAGCTCCAGAGTACAAGGAAGGTTTTTTGGTTGGCGCCCCCATCGCTGTTATACTAAACTGGCCGATGATTACCACTTCTGGATTTGCTGCTTTTCTCAACGACAAAGTCAACACGTTGTTCAAAAATATTCTCAATTATTGGGGAAAGTTTCTTTCCAGTTCTGCTTCTTGTTACGTGTTGAATGAAGATCCCCACCATGGTTGGTTTGGTAAAGACGCAATGAAAGCAATGCCAAACTTCGACCTAGAGTTCAAATGCAAGCCCAGAGAAAAACATCATGGTTTTACATCATGGGATGATTTCTTCACCAGAGAGTTTCGTGATGGCATTCGTCCAGTAGAATCTCCGGGCGACGAATCCATTGTTGCAAATGCCTGTGAGTCGGCGCCATATCAGATCTCTACAGCCGTGAAAAACAGGGACTTCTTCTGGATAAAGCACCAACGGTACTCATTGGACTTCATCCTGAACATGAGTGACCTTGCAAAGCAATTTTATGGTGGAACCGTCTACCAAGGGTTCCTAAGTCTCACCAGTTACCACCGATGGCACAGTCCTGTGTCGGGCACCATTTACAAGACAGAACTCGTGGATGGTTCTTATTTTTCTGTAGCCCATAACAACCAGGATGACCTTGCATTGATGAACCCATGCATATCACAAGGATACCTAGCCCAAGTAGCTGCCAGAGGTATTATCTACATTCAAGCTGATAATCCCGACATTGGCTTGATGTGCTTTGTGTCAATCGGTATAACAGAGGTGTCCTCCAACGAAATCACCGTTAAAGAAAAGGATAAAGTGAAGAAAGGTGACCAGCTCGGCATGTTTCACTATGGTGGGTCCACCCATCTACTGATATTTCGCCCTGAAGTTAAAATCGAGTTCGATACGAGAGGTCAAACGCCGGGTCTGCATACCGATAACATTCCGGTGAAATCAAAAATTGCGACCGTACATCCACAATCTAGGAAATTTAAGTAAGGATTTTGATAAACATCTTGATTTTGTCAGTTTTCGGTGTGAACGTGATAATTTTCTTTCTTTCCTCTTAGATGTCTTTTAACAATAGGGAAATTTAGTTTTTTTTTATTTTCACATCGTCAATTGTTATGAACAACTAAATTTTGAAGTGTTTGGCAACAACTAAATGTAGAAATGTTCTGGCTTAAAGTTTGTGAATTATTTAGGTCTGTAAGATTATTTTGGAACCCTTATGCGAGTCTCGTGAGCCTTGGTTTGTTATGTGCTGCAAGACCACACATTTATTTTTACCTTTTTAGTAGTTGGTCCTCGACCGTTGTCAAAGCCTGTTAAACGATAATTGTCATCGCTAGCGGTGTTTTTGCTAGTCCTTGCCTAGAGTCCTCAACGGGAAATTTTGTTCAAGTTTGGAAGTTTTTCAAGCAATCTTTTTGTGCCACGAGCATGTCTAAGAATTGATGGTGTAGTTTCAAACCGAAGTCTTTAATTATTTATTTTAGCATTTGCGATAGGAGTTTTAGTAATAACTACTAGACGTTTCTTAACTCACATTTGGAGTGAAAGATATTCCCATGGTTTACCGAAAGTGCGATAATAGTAAACTTAATTCTCGATGTGCACATTACGACTTCGTTGATTTCCGATATGTAGAAATAAAGTAATGCAAGAGTGTTAATTAAGGGCTTTCTTTTGCTTTAAATTGTTCTTATCAAAACCATCACATTCCACACAACACCTCAGCTAGAGAACAAATTTTAACCTCGAGCGAACCTGTTTGGTCCATTTTTAGTAACACAATTGTCAATTGTGTGCTAACCCAACCGTTTAAACATTAGGCCAAAATTAATGAGATTTGCTCGAATAAGTGCTGTACGATTTTAAAGGTTATCTCTGATATATACATATATATTTCTACATTACATAGAAACCTTCTATGGGCCAAAGCCAGGAATTTAAGCTTTAGTTTTAGATTTTCAAGATGGCCTAAACATTGCGCTGTAGTAAGTCAAGCCTAACCACAGGCAGCCGAAGCTCCAGCTGTGAGATGATCATCTTGCACAATAACAGTCATGGCGGAATTATATGAGCTTGTATGAGAATATTTACGACCGCTCTATGGAATACAACAATCCGTCAAATTCTCAATAAAAATACCTCACCTTACTTCCACAGCGTATCACTTGTGATCTGACAGCTTTCTTTGATGAAAAGAATCCATTTTAGCGAGTTGTCCATTTCGAGGTTTTCAACGTACATAAGAAAAGCCAAAGGCTGAACACTCCACTTTCGAACGCCCGATCCGAGAAGCGAAAAATCCCAACGCAAAATGACCGGGCGGCCACAAATACAACGCAGAATCCAAGCACATATACTTTAGTTTCATTTCAATTCGATACAAACTCAATCTTCCCCGCGCATCGGACGCTAAGCCACAGTTTCTTGGTATGAAGAAATTGTCGTAGCACCACGGGTGCCAAGTTACGGTGTGGTCCCCGGTGGGGCTCAGTTTGAAAAGGAGGCAGGGTTACCAAGCTGATTTTTAACGGTCGTGTGTCAAGGTTGACATGTACGTGGGCTGTTAGAAACCTATGAACTGGAAATTTTTGAAGCAAACTGCGGCTTGGCGTCGGATGCAAGGGAAGGATTGAGTTTGTAGTGAATTTAAATGAACCATCTTGAGTAAACGCGAAGATCAATATCTATTCACTGATTTCTAATAGACCTATTAGAACATACGACAAGTAACAACGAATAAACAGCGAACATTTCGAGTTGGGTACGAAAATCTTCGATTTCCTCGATAGTCGCCATGTTGTGACCTAACGTGGTTATCATTGAATCTGATAAATATCCCAGCTCAGGGCACCACGTTTCTCGCTAGAGCTATTGTGTTTCTTACTTTAGCCAATTTGTATAGCCATGGCTGTAAATATTTCTTTGCTGATACTTGGAAGGTCAAGCCTGAACTTTCTGCTTCCAAGCCGGCACCGGACGGAAGCCTTACTTGCTATTTCCTCGTTTTCCTCGGCATGGCACAAAAACCCTCGTTCACCGTTATATGTCTACCTCAATAAGGAACCTACAGAACTGTATTTAAAAGAGCTTGCATTACAGTCAGCTGTACATCTAAAAGAGGTGCCAGTTTCCAGTATTGTCGTTGCTTAGCCCAATCCTTGTCTTTCCTATGCATTCGACATGATGAGAAAAGTAAACTGAACGTACATAAACGTGATTAACAATAGTGCATCAATATTTGCTCCGACATATTTGTTTCGAAGGAACCTATAACCTTGCATGAGGATAAGGTTTTTCTACGCCTGTGAGGAGACTGAAGTAGTCGCTAAGTCACCACCAAAAATCAAATCAGTTAAATCTGAAGGGAAGGAAAGATCAACCGGAAAGACAGACAGACACGCGAAATATAGACAGATGGACTGATAGAGAAGCAAAGGGATAGACTGGCTTAAGAAACATACTATCCCCATCTAGGGGCGGAGGGGAGGGTGAAAGTGTAGCCACCATTTACGCACCACAAGTTGAATTATTATGTGCTTTGCGAGCGTATTACTTTTCCCGCCCCTTCTCTCTCATATGAGTTTAAAAGCGTTGTTGTCTCTCAGTTTTAAGGCTTTATAACCGACATTTGAATTCTGTCGCTTTCGATTGGTTTTCGTCACATAAGCCTTGTGGAACTTTGAACAAAAGTTATTTGGACGTTAGATTTAAATATCTGGAGATAGTGAGGCAACCGCGCTGTTGATAAGATGGTCGCATTCTATACTTGTGGATATTGGATGCAGTTAACTTGTTTATTGATCGATTTGTTATAGAAAAGCGACCCCTTCTGGTAACTTTGTTTGGACAAGGCCCATATTTGAACCCTTTTGTTCCTGAACTGGGCCAGCCTGTTTAAATATTGGCAGAATTAAAATAAACTAATTAATTAATTAAACCCACAAAGTTCTGGACATCGTGGGTAAAGCAACATACAGCTTACCCATAAAAAATTGAAAATTCGGCTTTTCAGACGGAGTCCAAGGAAGTATTTATGACTCTTCATCCAGTCTCTTGGATGTGTCCAGAAGAAGTTTGATCAGTAGCCTACGTGTAGCCGTACCCTCCCCCAACCCCCAAGGTGAAACGGAGGCGACGGAACGTTTACGCAAACCTGACACTTTTCGTGTTCAGTGACTTCATTCTAATTTTTGCAAAATAATGCCATTTTTGCGAAGTGGCACGTGTTAGCGTAAGGGTTATCGAGATAAACAACAACACTGAAGTGAATTCGTTTTCCATTTTTCGGGTAAATTTGCGATTCAGCGTCCGATTTCAAGTATATAGTTTGCTGTAAGGATATCAGTAAAGATTATACACGATTTTTGGTATAGAGTAGGAAAAGGACGATGTTCGATAAGCATCGCGCTTACGAAATTCACGCAATTTCTACTTGCATTTGTAAACAGTGCCACGGTCGACGAAAAAAGTTGGATTGTTTGCCACAGTCTAAAGGTTCTTACAGATTTCTGTGATCCACGATGGAATGCCTGGGATTGCCAGTGGTTCTTTTTTTCCACAGGCTGGCAATTAAACTGCATCAAAGTACCATGCATCTCCAAAAACTGTGGTACATGATATACAAATGCTGAAAAAAGAGAGTAATATTAAATTTATTTATTTTTATACCACAAAGTTTCACTTAAAAGCTTCCTACTTATATAATTACAATAACTTTCAGGCCTATTTATCTGCTAATAATAAATAGTAGATGCATTGTGAAATTATTATTTAATATCATCATCATTACTTCCATCCAGGAAGACATTTGTTAAGAGTTAAATTTTTGTTGACTTACTGTGAATGTAGGGGGTGATGTCATCATAATAGTACATTTCAAGAAAGAGCTTTCCCCACTCCCGCACATATGTTTTAAAGCGCTGAGGCTCAAGGTAGTCTGGATCATTTTCTTGAACCTGTAGCGCCCGCATAAAAGTCTGAAAACCCTACAGCAAGAAGCAAATACAGATAACAATTAAACATCATTATTAATTGTCTTTATTAAAAAAGGGTTGCCACTTGACAGAAAATAAAAAAGTTTTCTGCCTTTTCTCCAAAGTTTTACTAGATAGTTGAAACTGATGCCTGATATTTGCAGGTTAATTCCAACTTACTTTCCACAGATTGTCTATGCCCTCTGCATCTTCGGTGCCAACAGCTTCCATAACGTTCTTAATATCGAGTTTCTCCAAAACCTTTTGCAATTCTTTCCCTGATTTTCAAGGAAAATTTAAATATTAATAAAATAGGATAATAGCCAAGATAAACTTTTCTCTTCTTGAATGCATCATAGGTTATAAATGCATACTGAATTTGATTGTGCAGCCATGCCAGCTATGTTATTAACAAATGTAGATATATTGTTAACTTATTAAAGTACCATTTAGACTTGTCCACTTTGTTTCTGTTTTTTCTGCCAGTCTGTTGTACTCATCATAAAACTTGAATTCCACCTGAATTCTCTCCATTTCTTTTGACAGAATGTCTGGGCAATCATTGTTGACAACAACCTCAACAACCTATATTGAAATTAATAAGTGTCTGTTTTCTCCTTGAAAAATTTCCAAAGGGTTTGCATGAGAAAATGGCATTTCTTTATATGATGCATGTGGGCTCACCTGATGGAATAGTAGCCCCATTATTCTTAAAAATAAATGTAAGGTATCCACCACAACAAACTCAAAAGGGATGTTAAGAAGTGGAGGCATTGTGTAGCCTTTCCTTGCAGCCGTGGTGGAACGCTGGCACAACCAAGTGCACTCTGATAGCTTTCTCTCAATTGGCCATTTATCAACTGGAAAAAGATCACATAATATAATATATTTCTATTATTGACTTGCTTGTTGTTGGCTCTGTGATGATGAAGATGAATTTAAAATACAAAATTCAAGAACAAATTCGCCCTACTTACTATCAAGGTTGTTAATTTGGCCCTTGCAGCAATAACACCAAATACAAAAGTATTTAGAGCTAGCTCCATTTAGTCCATAAACAAGGGCCAAAAACTTCCAGTCAGAGCAACAATATCTGTTAATAAACAAATTATTAAACATGAATTAACCAGTAAACACCTTTAAGGTCATTAGTTGTTAGCATCTGAGAATTTTGTTTACCACTCAACATCAAAGTGTTCCCCATCAATTGATACTCCTTCTGCTTTTAACTCATCAATTTCTTGAAAGGTGTGTCCAAGGCAAGCTTTCAATTCTTCATAGTCTTCTTTACCTATGGAATGATATTAGACATGATCCACTGACTGTAACATATTTTGAGCACCAATACAAAATTAATAAGATTTATTTTTAATTAATAAAATGTCTCTTAGCTTGGCATCTAACAGTTTATCATTAGTATCGTTGCTCTTATTTGACAGGAATTTAGATGTTAAGATATTAGAATCTCTGCACTTACAATGCCAGAGTATACTGGTATTCGTATGTCGCCTTATTCTCACACAGAATGTTGAAAACAGCCATTACTGTGCCAATCCTTTTACTTGTCCTCCTCCCATCAGCTGAAAATCTAAGTTTAATTTTTGATCCATCTTTTTTTATGGCATCCTTAACTTCTGGTATTGCAATTAAATACTGTAAAACATCACGAACACTCCTCCGGGCACCATCAGCTTGTTTGGCCTGCATTTATTTAAAACCCAAAAAAATTAATTATTCTGTAAATTATTATGCCTGCCACAGTCACATTACAAATTGAACACTACAAATCAAAATAAATTTAAATAGTACTGGTGCACAGTGTCACTTATGATACCCGGAAATCATCCTAGGTGGAATATGTGGCCATGATTTTGCCAACAAGCATGGGTGGGAAACTGTCAAAAACACTGCTAAGCTTTTGGATGCTTTTCATCACCATCCCCACCCTCACCTCAACTTTTGGTGATAAGGTTTGCTAAGCAAATGCCAATAGATGGGATATGAATAGTCGTGTTCTTTAAAACTTAATTTACCTCCGGGATTTGAATTACTTTGATTTCCTTATTTTGGGAACTCCTTTCCTGTTTGATAGCGGACAGTGGCGGGACGTGACTTCGAACTTTCTCAAGGAGCGCCATCCTCAGTTCGTGGTATGCTTTGTCACTTACAAGTCCTTCATCCTTCGCTGCCAACATCCTTTGTACGACCTCGTGAGCGTAGCCCTAATCGTCATCGCCGTCATATTGGTAGTCGGATAGTGGGATCGCTAATTCACGGCCGCTTACATCAAATTTAACCTGTGTGAAAAAAAGAAACAAAGAGCATCTAAATAATTACGCTAGAAAATAAGAGACATCTGCACGAGTAAAATCAGGTAAACTACGTTAATCAACAAAAGAATCGCAAAATAAATGATTCTCTGAGGTCGGCCAAAAGAAAAGAGATGCGGCGATGGGGTTTAAATGTTAGTAACATGTGCAAAACAGCACAACTGCGACTACGTGCAATGTTTTCCCATTTTCAGCCATTTTTCTCTACTGTTTCATCTGAAAGCCCGCTGAAAGTTATCGATATACCGTGGGCACACTTCATACGTCACCCTTTCAGCTTGTACAGCGATGGCACATATCAGCTTCTTCATGAAAACTATTAGCGGCAAAGCGAATCGAAAGCAAAGAAAAATTTATTTGAGGTTTAAATTGACAGTGTTTTTTTTTTAAATCAGAAGTCGATAATTGCACTAAACTCTGGCAAAATAATAGTAACCAAACTGTTTTGTCTTCACCTTATATCGCCTGCATAAAAATTTTATTTCAGACGCTCTCTTAAAGATTCTTTGCTGATAGCTTGAAAGGAATAAACAGCGACAGGTGAATATAATACTGAGTAATTATCAAGGAAATTTTGCAATGATACTTACCTCGATTAGTTTAAATTCTGCTGGTAAAATCTTTGCAGCATTTCGGAGGTAGTCTCCGTTTTTTCCTCTTCAAAGACCGCGCAGCCCTGTTCACGTCCCAATAGCTTTTGCGGCTGACGTTAAATTTGACGGTGTTCTTTTTTTGGGAAACTTCGTGTCTTAGAAGCTGAAGTTCCTGGCGAAGCTGGAAAACTTCAGCTCTTCTCTCTGCCAATTCCGTCGCCTGGCCATTAATGATCTTAACATGTTCCACTTTTTCAGCTCGTAGCTGCTCATTCTCAGCGCGCAGATGGTAATTACGCTGGTCGTACGCCTCAAGGAGTGGCAAAGAGATGGCAGACTGCTCTACCTCAAAATGGCTCGGTTCGCGTCTGTAGAGGGCGCTTGGCGCCTTCTCTATCTTAAACTTGGAAAACATTTTCGACGATCTCTTTTGATGACACGAGCGAAATGATTGTTGTCAAGTGATAATAGCGAAATGATCGTTGTCGAGTGCACGCGTCTCTATAACCATTTACTCCATTAGCATGACAACAAGAAAACAATGGTGTCAACTGAGCGCGAATTTCAAAGACGCTTAGCTGCGCTCAAAACATGTTATAGGCCGGTAACTTAACCTTTGACGATTAAGAGACAAAGACGAGAAAACAATACACAACTGACCACGAAAGCGTTGCAAGTTATGAATACTCTAGTGGAACTAACGCACTAAAAGTGTTTCGTACCCTGAACCCTGTTACAATTTCTTAGATTGACTAATTCAGTATAATCTGGAATATGTTTGCGAAGAGTTAAAATCGATTAGTTTGAATTGGGGGAGTAACTTTTGTAACAGCTAGACACGGTCTTAATAAATTCGCAGCACCGTTCCCAAAAAGACCGAAGGTTGAAGGTGGGCAGTCCTCTTGGCCCAAGTACATTAAGATAGTGCACCTGGTCTTCAGCGAGAGCTTTAACGAGCGGTACAATAGATATAGTGACCGGTTTCTTAGAGAGAAGAGAGGCGATCGATCACTGGCGCTACTTGATATATTAAAGATTTTCCATAGCCAGTTGATAACGAAATGGAGACATCGGTACCTTCCAAAAACATATCTATGGCTTTCTGCTGTTCTTTTTGAGATGTCTTTATCCCAAAAGTCGCGTAAACTTGCCTTAAAACCTTGTCTTACATCGCTGTTGCCTGAAAAGTTGACCATGAAAGACTTTTGTTCACCGTCTGGTTTGTTAGTTTGAAAATAAACAAGACGATCTAAGATCGTAAGTCGGGCTACAGGTAGACGCGCTGTTACAAGTGTTGACCATTCACGGTGCGCAGTGGTTCTAAAAGAAATACAGAGGTACCATGGTCCTGGTTTGTGGGCATGGCGTAAAAATTTTTTCACCCCTGAGAGTCACCAATTCTACAACAACACACTGTCGCATATTTTTGGTGCAATACCCTGACAGGTATCATAGAGGCTGCTGCTGCGGACCTTTTGAGGCTGAACAGCCCAAGAGGTACTAAACCCGCCCTTTTTAACTTCTAAAAGCTATGATGAGCACCTCAGTACCTTTCTTAGAAAGCGCAGTCAGAGGGTCTGAATGGGAGGGTCAAAATGTCGGTTGTCGGTTAAAATTTCATTACTTTGTCGGTTGTCGGTTAAGATTTTTTGACCTTTGTCGGTTGTCGGTAAATCTCAGTTAATAATTAAAAATACACGTTAATTATTCACATTTATTATGCAATTTGCCCAGTTTTAAGACTTTAAACTCTAGACGAAGTGTAATACTTGTAATAATTCATTATTTGTTTTCACTTAAACCTCGTTAACGCTGTTTTTTAATTTAGCAACGTGCTCATCTACCCCACTTTTGTTTGCAAATCTAGTATACCGATAAAATTCACCAAAGCTTTTATTAAAGATGTGAATTTTTTTCCTGTCGACTACGGGGCATCGAAGTAAATCAAGAGAGGTAAATTCTACAAAGAATGAAACACCCACTCTAGCCCCTGGGATACCTAATTTTAATTTGTAAGCTACGGAAGTCTTTTTTCCGAGACGTCCACAAAAACTCACTACACTTATTATTCAACGGCTCTCGTGGCTTTTCTGCGAGGTTTCTTTTTTTTCTCTTTTTTTTGGCCAAAAATTTGGTTGTCATACGTATCAATCTGCACCGTTAAATGGGTTTTTTAACTGTTAGTACCTCTTACATGTCGAGACGCACAAATGCACGAACAGCCCTGCCGGATCGGGTAACACACGCTCTGTTGACAACCTCTGGATGTTCTTCAAAATCTGATTCCTCGTCATCCGAATCTGTCTCATACTCATCGATTTGTACTTCTCTGTGATCCTCAAACACCTCAGTAACATCCCCTTCGTCCACAAATTGTATGCTGACAACGCGTTGTGCATTTGCTGACGATACAGTGTTTTCTTCAGGATATCGAAGCCTCTCTTCAGACTCGTCGGTGTGGTGAACGGCGTAGACAGCTGGCGGCAAGGCCCCAGCCTTATCTTTTGTGGTCTCACTCCTAACCGTCCGTTGGCGTACTGGTCTGTAACTCTCTAGCCGCTCTTTTATCTGTCCTTCCATCCCTGGTGTTATGTCCTCACTTGGCAAAGGTGTCATCGTAGCTATAGCAGAAAGGGGCCTGGCGGATTGAGTTACCGGATAGTAGGATTTGTCATGCGTGTAGTACTTTGCTGCCCATCTAGATGTGCGCTTCAGAGATTCCTTGCAAATTGTTCCAAAATCCTGGGCATATGTAAGTACCGTAAATGTCTCGCGTTTAAGGTGCGAAACAGCGCGCAAATTTTCCACTACTGTTGTGAGCAACGTTTCGAGCAGCAGATCATCTACAAATTGGGGGCTAATGTCCATCACGTTCTTGTATAGCCTTTCTATGCCCTTTTTAAGTAAAGACACAGATACTTGCGTCTTCTGTGATACAGTTCCCTGTGGACCATTGGTTGCAGACGTCTCGCTCAACTGGTAGCGTTCTTTCACCTTACTCACAGTGTCTTTTACATAGCTGTCAATCTTTGTCACGTTCTCTTTTGCTTGTTTCAAGGACACTCCGTCTGGTTTCATACCCTTAGAATGAATTCCAAAGGTATCGTAAAGGGAGCCAAGAATCCCCAGAAAAGATACCGTTTCTGAGAGGTTCGTCACTAGTTTTGGTTAAACAGAGTTCGTTTTTCTTGAATCCGCAAAACTTACATGCACTTCGCTATCAGCCATGGAATCAGCATCTAACTTTTTAAGATCTTCTTCCCTACCTGAGAAGATTCAGAATTTACAAATTTTTTGTTGTTTTCTGTGTTTTCAGCCATGATTTGGGCTTTGGCCACGGTTTCTTTTACCAACGCTACAAGAAGACGGCGCGAACATTGGTTGTCTTGGTTTATTTTTAAAAATACATTTTAGCCCGGCAAATTCTTTATTTTAGCACGCAAAATGCGCCACAATGCCCATCAAAGTGATAATAATACAGTTTTTAGCCGGAATTTAAAAGAAACTATCTTTACATAGCGAACGCACCAAGTGAGCGTTTTTCGTTGTATAAACAAGGCAGTGTTTATAAACAAGGAATACCGCAGAATTTCCAAAGTAGCGAAATTTATGACTTTTGAAAATCAGGTAAACGAACTACAAGTGCTAATTCAGCCCTACCATCCTGAAACTTTTGAAGGTCTCCTTGTTGCCTTTCGTTTCTCTCGATGTCACCTCCTTCAGTCATGATCCTCTTTGCCAGATTTTCATCTTCTTTTGCTTCTTCTCGTGAATTCCGTTTCCTTCTCACTTTTGACTCGTCACCTTTCTTCTCAGTGTCGTTCATTGACTTCTGCTTGCTTTTATCAGGTGTAGCCGGCGCCTTCAGCAACACTACTGGCTTTCCGGTCAGTTTGTGACCTCTTCGATAATGTGTACTAAAATATTAAATACCGTGTGTTTTAAGTTTTCTCTTTAGTAGGCTTTTGAGAAACTTACACAGTTCTTATCAGCAAATGCTCGTCAAGATGTATAAAACGTGCACATCGAGCGAAATCTCTCGTGCGTAGCTTCCCTCGAGGAGAGAATTGAATATTATTTGAACGTCTGGTTTTCAGAAACGAATAAATTTAAGGGCGTGTATAAATAAACGGGGTCTTTAATATGTTAAGCTACACTGTTTTTCATTCACCAATTAATCAGAAAGAAGCTTATAAACTGATTTACTCGCTACTTCTTTGTAGAGATTTTTCTTCTCAATTTTCGCATTCAAATGGACGGTGAAAAAGAAAAAAAAAACATTCCGCTCCACAAAACAACAACAAAAAAAACGGTGGAACCAGAGTTTAACCACGTTAATATTTGAGCTTAATATTTAACTACAGAACTAAAGTGATTCATCAAACTCCGCTGCACGCGTTCCACACTTACCGTTGAGCTCACTGCTACTTTCATCCGATATTAAATTTGGAAGTTCAAGCTGCCATTGCCCATCCGTCACAATTGCAAAATTTTCGCATTTGCCCGCAGGCGATTTCGCCAGGCGAAATAACTTTAACGAAAATCCGCCAATTCCATATTGATGTGCCTGCTCCTTTAGTCCTAAAAACTCCGTAAGATGTTTTTTTAGTTCAGATACTCCTCTATGAGCTTCTTTGTCTACTGGGACCCTGCTTCGATGACGTTCGATGGCGACTTCTTCACCTTTTCGAAAAAAACTCACGATGACTTCAGCAATCCCAGTCATGACCCGACCGCATGAACAAACAACGAGCAATAAAAAGACAACAGCAGGGCGTCTCGTCGGCTCGATTATGATCCGCTGTTCTTGAAATGAGACAGCAGGGCGTCTTGTCAGCCCAATTACGAGCCGCTGTTCTAGAAATGAGCCCACGCTGCTCACCGAAAAGAAGGATCCCGTGGATTTAAAGTAATTTGAAGACAAGAAATTCTATAATTCGGCTAAATTTGGAATTAATGTGGTTACGTCGGGTGAAGAAGGATTTTCTGAGCTAGAAATCATCAAAATGCTGTTCTTTATGAATACAAACATCCCTATCACGTCTGATTATGTCGGTTGTCGGTTAGAATTTATTTTGTCGCTAGTCGGTTAACCCCATTCACACCCTCAATTTCATGGTGGAACCGTCTACCAAGCGTACCTAATTAAAAAAAGTGCCACCAGTTATCACCGATGGCACAGTCCTGTGTCGGGCACCATTTACAAGATAGAACTCGTGGATGGTTCTTATTATTCTGCAACATACCACATTCAGGATAAACCCGCATCGCCTAACATATGCATGTCACAAGGATACCTAGCCCAAGTAGCTGCCAGAGGAATTATCTACATTCAAACTGATAATCCCGACATTGGCTTGATGTGCTTCGTATCGCTCGGTATGTCAGAGGTGTCCTCCAAAGAAGATCACGATC